TCCCAATGACGTCGGTGAAGCAGTGGGAGGTGTGCGACGGGTGCGCACTCGGCAAGCAAACGCGAGTAAGCTTCATGAAGTCGTCGCCGAACCGTGCGAAGCAAGTGCTGGAGGTGGTCCACAGCGATGTGTGCGGTCCGATGCAGACGGCGACGTTCGGAGGCAAGCGCTACTTCGTCACGTTCATCGACGACAAGTCGCACTTCTGCGTGGTGTACCTGCTACGGAACAAGTCGGAGGTGGCTGCCAAGTTCGCTGCGTTCGTCGCGTTGGCTGAGACGCAGACCGGCAAGCGAGTGAAGGTGCTTCGGAGCGACAACGGCGGCGAGTACACTTCGGGTGCGATGGCCAAGTTGTGTGCGGATCGCGGCATCGAGCAGAAGTTCACGCCACCATACACGCCTCAGCTCAACGGAGTGGCCGAGCGAATGAATCGGACGCTGGTGGAGTGTGCGCGCTGCATGCTGGAGCACGCCGGGTTGTCGAAGGAGTACTGGGGAGAAGCGGTGATGACGGCCACGTTCCTCCGCAACCGGTGTCCGACGCGCGCCATCAGTCACGACAAGTCGCCGCACCACGTTTGGACCGGCAAGAAGCCTTTGCTGGCCAACCTCAAGGTGTTCGGGTGCCACGCGTACGTGCACGTGCCGAAGGAGAAGCGGTCGAAGTTCGACGCTCGGTCGGTGCGCTGTCGTTTCCTCGGGTACTCGGAGCACGAGAAGGCGTATCGGTTCGAGGAGATCGAGAGCGGTCGCGTGTTGGTGAGCCGCGACGCGCAGTTCATGGAGGATGTCTTCGACGGTGGGAGACGCGACTACGCTTCGAAGGAGGTGTTGGTGGGTCTTCCGACAGATGATGATGAAGACACCACGGATGAAGAGACTCAGTCCGGATCAGACGAGAACAGAGAAGAAGCTGCGCGGAATCAAGACTTTGAACCCGGCAGCAAGCGACACCCGCGCACGCAGTCGCTCGAGGAAGCCGTGGAGGTTCCGAGTGCCAAGCGGTATGCGGTGCCAAGACGACAGCAACCGCTGGACGAGATGTCTGCCGCAGCACAAGAGAAGGAAGACTTCGAGGCTGCGTACGTCGTGGATTCAGTGGGAGAGATGCCGACAACGTTCAAGTCGGCGATGGAATCCAGCGACGCAGACAAGTGGAAAGAGGCGTGCGACTCGGAGGTGGAGTCGCTCCGCAAGAACGAGACGTGGACCCTGGTGCCACTGCCGAAGGGACGCAAGGCGATCGGCTGCAGATGGGTGTTCCGCGTGAAGGAGAACCAGTCTGGAGAGATCGAGCGGTTCAAGGCGCGACTGGTGGCGAAGGGGTTCTCGCAGAAGTACGGCATCGACTACGACGAGACGTTCGCGCCGGTGGCCAAGTTCACGTCGATTCGGGTGTTGCTGAGTCTGGCGGCCAAGTACAAGCTCACAGTGCACCAGATGGATGTGAAGACCGCGTTCCTCAACGGCTTGTTGGACGAGGACATCTACATGGCGCAGCCGGACGGATATGTGGACGGAGATCGACCCGACTACGTGTGCCGGCTCAAGCGTTCGCTGTACGGCCTGAAGCAGTCGCCGCGGATGTGGAACAAGACGATCGACGAGTTCATGTTGAAGCTGGGGTTCAAGAAGTGCGAGTCCGACCACTGCATCTACTTGAAGCGGGACAATCACGACATGATGTTCGTGGCACTGTACGTGGACGATCTGGTCCTCGCCAGCAGCAGCGACAGGATGCTGAAGGACACGAAGCAGGCGCTGAGTGACCGGTTCGAGATGACTGACATGGGCCAGCTCAAGTACTTTCTCGGTATGGAGATCGAGCAAGATGTGGCGACTGGGAAGGTGTCGGTGCGGCAGACCAAGTTCGCGAAGGACATTCTCGAGAAGTTCAAGATGGATGAGAGCAACCCTGTGAAGACACCGCAGGATCCGGGTCTGAAGCTGACCAAGGCCATGTGCGAGGGAGGCTGCAAGCACGACGAGACCATGGCGAATGTTCCGTACCGGAACGCCGTGGGCTGCCTCATGTATCTCATGGTGGGGACTCGTCCGGACCTCGCAGCGGCAGTGGGAGTGCTGAGCCAGTTCGCAGCGGACCCATGTCCGACACACTGGCAGGCGCTCAAGAGGGTCTTCCGCTACATCCGAGGCACGAAGACGCACGGCCTCGTGTTTCAAGCGAGCAGCGAGGACGGACTGCAAGGCTACTCGGACGCGGACTGGGCCGGCGACATCGAGTCTCGACGGAGTACGAGCGGCTACGCGTTCATGATGAACGGCGGATGCATCAGCTGGCGAAGCAAGAAGCAGCGCACGGTGGCGCTCTCGTCGACGGAAGCCGAGTACATGGCGCTGTCGGAGGCCACGCAGGAGGCGGTGTGGCTCAAGGTGTTTCTGTGCGAGCTGGGCGAGATGGCGAGCGATGAAGCGGTGAAGATCTACGAGGACAACCAAGGCTCCATCGCGTTGGCCAAGAACCCGGAGTTCCACAAGCGCACCAAGCACATCGACATTCGCTACCACTTCGTGCGCGAGAAGGTGGAAGACGGTCAAGTGGTGTTGCAGTATGTTTCGACACTCGACATGCTGGCGGACATCATGACGAAGCCGATCGCGGCGCCGCAGTTCGACGCGCTCAGGACGAAGCTGGGCATCGTGGTCGCTGACGAGTCGAGTGGGAGTGTTGTCAAGACTGATGTGACGACGCCCCGCCAAGCGACCGTGTGACGTGAACGCGTCATCAGTGAGGTCGGCGTGACCTTCACTGTGTGGTACCGAAATCATTCAGGTGATTACGGGACGATGATTACGTCACGGTGATTACGCCAAGATTGTGGGTACAAGATGGGCATCGACGTGGCGTTCTCTGATTGGATAAGGTAACTGTGTATCCAGTAGAGAATCCAGTAGGGTGTATCCAGTAAGAGGTATCCAGTAGCAGGCTTAGAGGTAGCACGCGGTTGCGAACTAAGGACCTGAATCGAATCACTTTGCATTTTGCCAACTACTGCTCAAGTGCTCTTCCTTTTTTCGAGTCGTCGGCGAGCCTTTTGTAGGTGGAGCAACCAGGTCCAGCGAGTCAGCAAGGTCCACAAAGTTGGTCACCGTCGACTGGAGAAGTTACGAAAACACGCAGTCCTTCTCCTTCACGCGTTGGACGACTAAGTGCCACGGGGAAAGCAACACGGCGAATTGCACCGCTCTCCCGAAGAGTGACTTGGACTTGGTAATCCATTCCAACGTAGAGAACCGCGTGTACACGCGAATAGTCCGTCCTGCTAGCTGTGTAAAGCAGGTCTTCAGGAGCTGGAGTAGAGCTAACACCTCCTTTTCGGCAGGGTGGTAATTCATTTCTGCGTCCTTCAAGACGCGACCACAGAAGCGCACGGGGTGCAGATTGTCGTCGTGTATCTGGAGCAATGTCGAGCTGAGTGCCCATTCGTTCGCGTAAAGCATCACGTGCACGTCCTTCTTCTTATCGAAGTGCCGAAGGATCGGCGCCGCCGCCACCTTCTGCTGAAGTGCTTGGAAGCTGCGGCGGGCTACAGCGAGGTCACCCCCGGGCGCGAAGTCGTCGTCCTTGTGCTGGTACAGCGCAGCTCCATAGACTGCGAAGTCTTGGATAAACCGGCTGTAGTAATTCAGCGCTCCGAGGAAGGACTGCATCCCCTTTTTTGTCCGAGGGAACGCCAGCTTCGTGATTGCGTCCAGTTTCTTGGGGTCTGCGCGCATCCCATCTCGCGAGATTTCGTGCGACAGGAAATCGACGCGTCCTTGCACGAATATGCCCTTGGTGAAGCTGACGCTGATCCGGCACTCCTCAAATCGGCTCAAGAGCCCGTCCAGCGTGGCGAGGCAGTCTTCGAAGCTCTCGCCTCCGAAGCATATGGCATCCACAAACGATCGGCGATCGAACACCGGAACCAGTGACGAGTCGTCGGGCTCGTTGGTCGCAAACATGTCCGCATCCGGGCTGTTGATCAGCAGCACGACAGGATCTAGTGCCTGCGAGTCGTCGTGAGCGGCTGCAAACTTCGTGCGGGACGCTGCGGAAGGGTTCTGCAGGTATCCCGACGACTCGAGTCGTCGGAGGCGTGCTGATTCGGCTTCGGCAGCTCCCATCCGCTCCGCAAAGGCCTTCCAACCTCCCTTCGGCTGGACATGACCCCACAACGCGTTGTCGATCATGCGCTGGTAGATCATTGGCGCGTTCTTAAGGCCGAATGGCATGCGAAGCCACTCGAAGTGCCCCAGCGGGCAGACGAAGGCCGAGATCTTGCGCGCTCGTAGCGTCATCATGATGGCCCAAAATCCACTCGCAGCGTCGAGTGAGCAGAACCAGAGGTATGCTTCTAGGTCGGTCAACAAGTCGTCGACGAGTGGCATGGCGTATTCCATGATCGCTGTGATGGCATTGACCAGCTTGTAGTCGATGCACAGTCGAATGTCGATCCCGTTCTTTTTCAGGACGATGACGATCGGCGATGCCCATGGGCTGTCAGAGGAAGACACGAGTCCAGCCTTGAGCAGCCCTCTCAGCAGCTCATACAGCTTCTTGAGATGCCGTAGTGGTATCCGCCGGGCTCGTTGCTTGATCGGCGCGTGCCCTTGCACGTCTATGTCACAGACCACCCCATATGCTGGTGGTGGTAACGCATTACCGCTTGCGATCATGATTGGCTCATGGCTCTTGAGCACCTTGATTAGATCGTCCTGTCGCGCCGCCGACAACTCAGGATTCCGCACATTGTCTGCGTCGTAGTCCAGAGTGGTCGTAGCGGCTTCGGACAAGTCAGGAAGGAACGTCAGCTCGTGCGCGTAGTCTTCCAACCCGATGTCAGCCGCGAGATGCTCGAACGAGACAACAGCGGCGTCATTCGCGGTCTCTGTACCTTCTGTGCTCAAGAATCGCGAGACACATATGAACGTTTGCTCGAGTCGTGTCAAACCGGCCTCGATATCCGGGTTCGAGCAGGATTGAGTCGTCGGGACTTAATCCTTAGCACTCTTTGACTCCGTAGGTTCGTCCATCCCGGTCCCCGACGACTCATCTCCCTCAGCAGGGCGCTCAGACGTCTCCAAGTCAGCCGCTTCCACTCGAGTATTGAGGGTCACCCCTGTCGAGTCGTCGACGGCTGCAACTATCCGTTGCGCAACTTCTTCTGGTGCGGATTCTGGATCATTGCCCACTGGCAAGCCGTCAGAATCTTCACCTCCATCACTGTCGGGCGACTCCGAGCTGTGCTCGTCTTGAGAGTCTTCGGGAGGCCGTCGGAGCAGCCCCGTTGGAGTGGGATAGTCGGGTCGATCCACTGCCGACGGCTGGGCGGCTAACCATTGAGCGTAAAGCTCGGCTTCCCACTTGAGCAGCGTCGTATCGCGGGCAGCCTCGTAGGCAATGACTTGCCATTCCCTATACTTGTCAGAGTCGAGCCGCACATATCCCTCAGACTTCGGCAACGACCCGATTGGTACCCACACCACGAAGGTTGTGTGAGCCGGACAGATCGTGAGCCGGTTGTCAAGGTTGGTCAGTCGGATCCGCTGCGGATGTCCCTTGTGGAACCGCTTCACCGTAGGGATGAGCTTGTCGGTCCGTCGGGTCCACGGCACGTGAGTCGTCGGGGATGGCCGCTTCCGTTGCAATCGGAAGTCCTTCCATTCTCGGCCGGGAATCTGCAGCACATCGACCGGGCCCCCGTTGACGTGGACTCCTTCGGCCTCGTCGACCATGTTCTGCGTCTTGATCAGCGGGATCATCACTTCGTCCGGGAGCTTGGCCGCCGCGTTGAAGATATCCAACCGGATCCCAGCCGGGATCATGAAGTCGGTGCCTAGCACCACGTCGACGCCTACGTTGTGGTCGATGATCCACATCTCAAAAACGTAAACAGGCTCCCATCCGAGCGTAATCGTCACAGACGCCCTCCGAGTCGTCGTCGCCTTGCCCTTTGTGGTACCCTGGACTTCCATACACCGACCATGGTCTGGAATGTCCTTGATCCTCAGCCGGTTGGCATACTTCTCGGAAATAACACTGACGTTCGCTCCAGTGTCCAGCAAGATCCGCGTCCGCGAGTCGTTGACCGCTCCGTTCACCAGTGTCCTCATACGTACTCGTCGGTCGAATTTCTGCGCCGACCACCATCCCATACGCTCTCCGGGTAGAAGGCGTACCTCCACGTCGAGGCGTCGGCGCGATGTTTCTTGCACTGCACTCGTCACCCAGTCTTCGGCAGTGTCTTCAATCACTTCTTCATCACTCTTCTCACTCAAATCACCTCCACCGAGGCTTTCGCCTCTCTCCTTTTCAAATTCCGTCGCGTTCACCCATGTACCTCGTCCTTCATCCGGCCATTCGCACTTGCCCACAAAAGCGTAGATGCACTCCGCTTCGACTGCAGGCTCGGCTAATGTGGCAGCCCGATTGGGACCAACCCAGTTTCAGTTGGCGGGCTGCCTAGTTTAAATGTTCCGTGAAGAGGAGGTTCTGGAGCTCAGGAGTGAGGTCCTTTGTGTCCACCTTGTTGCGGACAAGCTTGGTAAGTTCTTGGAAGACTTCGCACCGGCCTGCGTCGTGCACTTGTTTGCACAACTTGCAGCGCCGGTTGCAGAAGTGGGCCGAGTGGGATAGACCACCACAGGCAGCGCAGAGACCGTACTGGCGTCGTCGATTGTCACGGCCATCTCGGCTCTAGTATCGGTTGTCCCGGCTGGGTTCCCGACCATTCTGGTCGCGTCGGGAAGGCCGGTTGTCGGACCTGGTGTACGTGCCGTCGGCTGCCGCGCGTCGTTCATTCTCGTTCGCCGCAGCCACGTAGTGATCGCTGTCATCCGTTGAGTAACCATCGTGCCCGCCTTCATCCGAGTACCACGAGTCATCGGAGCCTTGATCGCTGGCGGCGTCGCTGTCATCGTTGAACTGCTGGCACGCACTGTCGCGTCCGGTCGAGGTGCTCCTGGCGTCCCGTCCTTGCAGCTCAGCGACTATGTCTTCCACTGATGCGTCAGCCAGGGTCACGCGAGGAACGTTCCTGGAGTCGTCGCGACGACGCTCATAATCTCGTTCGCGTCGATCCCCACGGCTGTGGCCAGTTCACGAGTCATCGCGGCGGTATCCGTCTCGGGTGTCTTGGCGGCGCCGGTCATCTCGGCGACGCGAGTCATCGGGACGCCTGTCATCACGTCGGCGGGACGGTTCCCGAGCCTTGGATCGCGACTGCAAAGACTCGCGCGAAATCTGTCGCTCTTCAACCTTCAGCATTTCGATGATCATCTCCTCCAGCTCATGGATGTCCTTGATCCGCAGAGGAGCGAGTCGTCTCTCCAGCTTACGGTCACCGTAAGTCTCCAGGAAGCGCTTGACGTGGTCTTTCGCCTTGCGGCCGCCGTTCTCGAACTGGGCGCCTGCGTTGCGGGCGTAGCCGTTGAGTCGGTTCAGGTAGTCGCAGACGTGTTCCTTGTCGTCGCGCTTGGCAGAGTAGTATCGGGTTTCCGCTGACTGGCTGAACTGGGAGCAGTAGTAGCGGATGAAGGCTTCGCTCAGCAGAGTCCAGGTTCGTTTGGTCTTCTTGGTCAGTTGTCGGTGCCAGTGTACCACGCCGTCTCTCAGGCGGAGCTCGAAGGGCATGCACCATTCATTGGGTGGCGCGTGTGTACCTTTCATCTCGTACACAAACGCGCGCAGCCACTGCATCGAGTTCTCGCTCCTGTTGCGAGCGCCCGAGAACGTCGGGATCTGCCCCAGTGGTCGGTGCATCGCTACCTCGAGCCTCGGCGTCGGGTTCACTGTCTCTGCGTCGCTCACTTCCCGGATCTGTCGCAGATATTCGTCCATTTGTGCACCTCCGTCTCCGGTGAAGTCATCGTCGTCATCAGATGAGTCGTCGGCGGAGCGGGACTTGCGACTTGAGCTCCGTCCGGAGCTTCGTAGACTGCTCCTGGTCACTCTCGAGTCTTCGGCACCACGCGCTACTCGTTCAGTACGAGTCGTCGCGGGTGGAGTGACCATGTGGGAGTCTTGAAAGTACGGCGATCGCTCGCCCGACGCACTGAACACTCCTCTAGTCCCAGCCTGGGCTGAGTAACTGCGCTCAGTCTTCTTCGGAGCTCGCGGGAGCGGGACGCGCGCTGGGTCACACCCCCTTGTTGGTGCGAGCCGCCTTCGGCTGTTCCAAAGAGAAGGGGGTCATGTACACAACTTCTTCTTCCATTGCCAGAGCTCGGCTCCGGCTTCCGCGGGCAGGAAACTCTCCAGAGTCGACGGCGACGGGGCAAGCGTGGGCCGGAGACCCAACGCTTTCAGGAACGTCACCGTGTCCTTCGCCACTTGCTCCACTGTGACCGCATTCACCGGTCGCGCCAACTCGTGGCTCAGGTCGGCCCACACCGCTTGGCGGATCATGCGCGGCTCGAAGAGTCGACCCCATTCGCTCGCACGCATTGCTTCAAAGCATCGGCCGAGTATGCTGGTGTGTCTTCATTCATCGGCGGCCGGTTGCCCGAGGTTTGCTCAGTCACTTGAGTCGTCAGCACCGGCGATCGTGAGTCGTCGGCGCTGTCTTCAAACTCTTCCATGTCATCATACGCTGGCTCAGGGCCGTCCACGTCATCCAGTTCGTCCGCGAGGTTGCGTGAGACGGGAGGCGCGTCGTCTTCCAACTCGCTCGCGAGACTGCGCGCCAGGGAGCGCGAGCCCCCGCTGCGCCCCGCGGACATCACTGCATCTTCCGGAGTCTCGGGTGTCACCACCGCTGGCGCAGGCGCCTTCTCCTCCAGATTATCGTCGTATTCATCATCCATTTCTTCGTCCTTGGCGTCGGATCCAGTCATCGACTCGTCGAAGCTGACGTGGCGCTCAGCAATCGGGTCGAGTTGCAGCATGATCAGGGCTGATGTTTCCTCTGTGCACCGTGTTTCCGCTTAGTCAACTGACGGAAACCCAGCGTCACTCGCCACGAGCAAAGGCTGGCACGCTCTCACACACAATATAAACCTCGCAGGCACTCAGGAAGGAAGGGTCCCAGCCAGTCACGGCTTGATACGAGGGTGCCGGAGCTATACTCCGGCGGGAAGGATAAATGGAGTGCGCTCTCGCTCCTCCACTACACGGTGATGACTCGCCCTTCGTATTCACGGCCACTTCTTCACTACTCTTGGCCTGACCACGGGTAAACGCACGCTACGATACTAGCAGGCGCGTCCACCGACAGTCATAATCCTACCAACAGGTTTATCCAATTGCTACGGGAACTCACCGATAGCCCGAACGTCTTCCTTGAGTGGTTGGGAGGAAAGCTGTTCTGTTCTTGTTGCCCAAAGGGCTTATCTGTTCTATCTTCTCTTTCCTATGGTTCAATACAAATATCTAGTCTAGACGTGTCCGTTTTGGATCTTCCAGGTAACCACCCGACTCTTCAGAGCCCTCTTGAAAGCTCGGACGGCCTCCCGATGACTCGAAGAGTCGCTATTAAGGGTTGCTGGTCTTGGGTACTGTGTACCAGTTGTACCCATTAACCGGTTAACCCGAACCGGTCCAATCCGAACCCACGTTGATTATGGTGATTACGGTAAGTTGTTTACGCCACCGATGATTAGACGAGTAGGATGATTGGATGAACACCGGTGAGTGATGGTTGATTAGATGCACTAGGTGATAGGACGCAGGGTCGCGTGTCTATAACAGTAGGGTGTAAGCTCCAACAATTCAATCACTTTCGAATCTTCATTCTACCCCTCAAGTGCCTTCGCTCCGGTCCCGCCGTCTGCGACGTCCCTCCCTCCGCTTCGTCCGAGCTTCGTGTCCAAGATCCATACCTTCCATCAGGTTATGAGCCCAAGCACCATGTCCTCTGCCCAAGACGCCTCGACCAAGGTCTCCATTGACAAGTTCAACGGGGACAACTACGCGACGTGGAACCGCTACATGCGTGGCGTGTTCCTGACCAAGTCGACGTGGCATGTCGTGAACCGCGAGACGACGCCGAGCTTCACGGACTCGCGGGCCAAGGACGACTACGTCAAGTCGAGCAACATCGCGTTCGGACTGATGTTGCTCCACATGGACGCGGACTACCACCATGTGGTCGACGACTGCGAGGAAGCGTGGGTTGCGTGGACGCGCCTGAGGACGCTGTACGGTGGTTCGCAGAAGGCTGGACGCATCTACCTGAAGCGCCAACTCTTCAGCATGGAGATGTCGGAAGGCGGCAACGTCTTGCATCATTGCAACGAGGTCCTCAACATCAGCGCCAAGCTCAGCAGCATCGGCGCCAAGATGGAGGATGAGGACGTGGCGATCTGCCTGTTGCGCAGCCTCCCCAAGAGCTACGAGAACGTCGTGCTGAACTTGGAGATGAGCAGCGCTGAACTACGATCGCAAGACGTCGTGAAGGTGCTGACGAATGAGCACATCAAGAGACAAGGCGAGAAGACGGCGACGGTGAAGACGGAGAATGCGGCCAAGGCGTTCAACACCGACCGAGAGTCTCGCCAGTGTACGTACTGCGGGAAATTGGGGCACACGATTGACAAGTGATGGACCAAGCAGAAGGACGAGAATCGGGGCCCAAGACGCGGCGGCAATGGCAATGGCCGTGGACGCGGGGCCAACAATGCCCAGTGGAGGAACGACGACGCCAGCTACAACTACGCCTACGGCTATGATCGAGTGGCGTTCGCGGTCTCACTGGAGTGTGGCATTTCGACGGGCAAGAATGTGTCCGGGTTGTGGGCGGTCGACAGCGGCGCAACGCACCACATCTGCAACGACAAGGCCAAGTTCGCTCATTTGATTGAGCGGAGTGAAGGCGAACTTTCGGTGGCCGACGGCAACAAGGCGGCCATCATGGGTGTGGGGACCATCGTGGAACGAGTGGTTCTGCCCAACGGCGACGAGCGCGACATCGAGATCAAGAACGCGCTGTACGTCCCAAGCATGAGCAAGAATCTGCTTTCGGTGCCACAGATCAACA